ACTCGATGGAGCAGCAGCAGGAGCAGCAGCAGGAGCAGCAGCAGGAGCGCGACCCGAGGTCGCATCGCTTACTTTGTCTCCTCGCTGTGGCCGGCGTTCTGCTCCAAAAGGAGCAGGTCCCAGAGGCGGCTCTGAGGTGTCAGTGGCGTCTCCCCTTCTTCCATGGTCCTCGAAGCTTCCACCTCCACCTGCTCCTCCATCTGCTCCTCCACCTGCTCCTCCTGCTCCTCCTCCTCCTCCACCTGCCCTTCCACCTCCTCCACCTGCCCCTTCACCTCCTCCACCTGCCCCTTCACCTCCATCACCTGCCCCTCCACCTCCATCACCTGCCCCTCCACCACCTGCCCCTCCACCTCCTCGTGCTCTTCCTCAACCTCCTCCTCCTCGTGCTGCTCCGCGTGCCGCTGCTGCGTCTCCACCGCGGCGCTCGACATTCACCGTCCGCGTGCCCGCGGAGGCGCGAGAACGACGCCCCCTCCCCCCTCTGTGCTCCCCTCTGGAGCGCGCAACTTTATGGTGACCTTTAGATGCCACCCCACCTGCGATGATGCTGCTTCTGCTGATGATGATGCTGCTGATGATGCTGATGATGCTGCTGCTGATGATGATGCTGCTGATGATGATGCTGCTGATGATGCTGATGGTGCTGCTGATGATGGTGCTGATGATGATGCTGATGATGCTGCTGATGATGCTCATGGTGCTGCTGATGGTGCTGATGCTCATGATGCTCATGATGATGCTCATGATGCTGCTGATGATGCTGATGATGCTGCTGCTGATGATGCTGCTGATGATGCTGATGATGCCTCTGCTGATGGTGCTGCTGATGATGCTCCCGAGCGAGTGGCGGAGCGAGCAGCGCGCTGGGCTCGCGATCCGAAGAGCCGCGCCCCTCCGTTCCATCCTCACGGTTGTGGCAAACGACGACGACGATTACGATGAAACAAAAACACAAACGGTGCAAGTCCTAATGGCATGATGAGGCAAGCGTGACTGGGATCGCCCGGTTAGTTACGTCCAAGCTGGACTCCCACGGACCCCTCTGGGCTCGTGACATCGCAGGTCGCGAAGCGCCACAGGTCAGGGAGCGGTGGCGCAGCGGTCGGCACTCCGGCAGACCCGGGATCGAATTCCCACTCGCGCCCAACAGCGGTGGCGAGTGTTTGAAGCGGTCCTTGGTGCCTCCCCTTAGGTCTGCTCGGCCTTAAACGAGTAGCGTGCCCGGGTCGGTGCGCGTTAACATCGCCACTGGGGAGACAAAGGCGGCCGGGCGTGGTGCTGGACACCCACCCCCTCGTGCGCCGTGCCGGCCTTAATAGGTGCTCGCTAACAGCACTTGCCCCGGCAGTCTGTTGAACGCTACATGGGGGATCTTTGTCTGTGCAAAGATGCAACCACCGCTCAGGATGAGGTTTCCCACAACCCTGCCGCGGGGGCAAGGGTTGGTGGATCACGTCGAGATTTGTGAATCTCACAAACCTGCTCAGGGCGCGTGCGAAGTTGGCCAGGAGACAAGCGTAGGGGGGGGGGGGCAAGTGGATTCGTGAACCCATCTGTGTGGACCTGCGAGTTGTTGATCTCCCTTGCACGCGACTTGGGTTCCCTCCCGACACTCGCGTTCGCTCGCGCACGGAAAGAGTGGGCCACGTGGCCCAGAGACCAGAGAGGGGGGAGGGGGGAGGACAGGGGGGTGGGAGGAAAGGGAGGAGAAGGAGGGGGAGGGAGGGGGCGAACGGAGGATGAGGGAGGAGGGGAGAGAGGGAAGGTGAGAGGAGGGAGGAGGTAGAAAGGGGGAGGTGGCAAGCAGAGGAGGAGGAGGGGGGGGAGGAGGCGCAGGAGGGGGGAGGTGATAGGAGGGAGGGGGGAAGAGGGGAGAGGGGGAAGGTGAGAGGAGGGGGAGGAGGTGAGAGGAGGGGGATGTGAGAGGAGGGGAGGAGTGTGAAGGAGGGGAGGAGGAGTGGGAAGGAGGAAGGGATAAGAGATGAGATGAGGGGGAGGGGGGGCTCTGCGTGATCTCCGAGCGGACGCTTCGCCCCGTGACGACGACGCCGTCACGTCGGTGGCGGCGCTCGCCCCCCCCCCCCCCCCGGGGTCCCCCCAGACACAAGTTTCAAAAGACTCGGTAGGGGGAGTTTTTTTTTGTTCCCTGGATAGGGGTGGTTATTATTGCTGCGAATATAAATGCGTGCGTGAATACACTCGTGAGCATTTGTATACATCTTTGGATTGCGCACGCGTCATTACACTGCAGGCGATTAGTGGGATGGACAGTTAATACACCGTCAGCACGTTTACATGAACTCCAATTAAAAAGACTGAACAGCCCCATGCACATATATATATAGAACGTAAATATTAAAAGCTTTCGGCTAAAACTCTCGTTGGAAATGAGACCGCGTGCAGCTCTGATCTCGCCCACCGCCAGGCAGCCAAGGGATGGTGGGGAGTGTGTGCAAGAGGGGCGCCCGGTGCGGAGATGGAGCGACGGAATTCGGCTGGCGAGCAGGTGTCACATCGCAGGATCGCGTGGCGTCGTCGTCGTCATCATCGTTTGTAATTGTCATCGTCTTCATCATCACCATCATTATCGTCGTCTTCGTTATCGTCATGATTGTCATCATCATCATCATTGTCGTCATCGTCGTCAGGGATGATCGATCCGCTGCTGGACGGAAGCTGTCCCCAAAGCATCCCGCTGGGATGATCATTTGCCGGGCGACCGTAACGGCCGTCATCGCCGCTGTCGCAGCCGAGACGGAACCCCCGAGGTGTC